AGGCGCGTCGCAGCGTAACAGTGTTTCGTGAGATATCGCGAAGCCTGTTACGCGAGACGTGGTCTGGCGTACATATAGCTAGTCAAAGTAGAGCCTCTTGGCCGAAAATTTCGTCCGTTTGGCTCTATCTTTATCCGTTTCGGCGCCACAGGGAGTTTTTGACGAAAAGAAGCGAAAAAATGTACAACTGTCAGGGGAGCGCAAATACTGACTACAACCCTGCATGCTCAGTCGCAGTGACGGAAAGTTGACGGGCCGGAGGCCCGTATCTTTGTGTACATTTTCCCACTATCCGACTTGGGTGTCAGCGCCGCAGGCCTAGGTAGATGTCTGCCAGGCGCGTCGCAGCGCAACAGTGTTTCGTGAGATATCGCGAAGCCTGTTACGCGAGACGTAGTCTGGCGTACATCTACCTAGTTATTGGCTGAGCGATTAGCGAAGCCTATCACTCCAGTGATGATCAAAAAGTTTCGCGTCTGTCTGTCTGTGTGTCTGTTTGTCTGTCATCACGATAACTCGAGAACGAATTGAGCTAGCGACCTGGGATTTTCAGGGTCGTTTTGTGTCATAAAAAGACAGATAGAGTTCGACGATGAGCATTCTAGCTCAAGAATTGGATTTTTAAAAAATCAAAAACAACAGGTCCTACAAATCACGTTCTTTAAAAATATTTTTCACAGTTTCCTGAAGGGTAACTCATCAAAGTAGAGCCCTTTGGGCGTAAATTTCGGCCGTTTGGCTCTATCTTTAACCATTTAGGCGCCACAGGGAGTTTTTGACGAAAATAAGCGAAAAAATGTACAACCCTGCATTCTTAGTCGAAGTGACGGGAAGTTGGCGGGCCGGAGGCCCGTATCTTTGTGTACATTTTTGCGCTTCCCGACTCGGGTTCCAGCGCCGCAGGCCTAGGTAGATGTATGCCAGGCGCGTCGCAGCGTAACAGTGTTTCGTGAGATATCGCAAAGCCTTTTACGAGACGTGGTCTGGCGTACATCTACCTAGTATATTTGTGTATGTGTAGGTCTCTCTGCTAGTCAGTGTGTGTGTGTGTGTGTCGGTTCCGTCTCGACGGAGAACCGACCACCGTAAACTTTGTTGGCTGAGCGATTAGCGAAGCCTATTACTCCAGTGATGATCAAAAAGTTTCGCGTCTGTTTGTCTGTCTGTCTGTGTGTCTGTTGTCTGTACGCACGATAACTCGAGAACGAATAGGGTATTGGTCTAGAGCGCTGAGCGGAAGTAGAAGAACAAAAACGGAAGACGGAAAGGCGCCCGCACTCCTCCCCGCCTGCCCTCCACTTCTCCCCGGGCGCTCCCCCACTCCGCCCCGTGGAGGAGAGGGGATCGGCCCGGGCGCCTTTATGCCATCGCCCTTGTGTCTGTCTGTCTGTCTGTCTGTCTGTCTGTCTGTCTGTCTGTCCGTCTGTCCGTTCCCCAAGAAGGACGTGAGCTAGAGGTCTGGAATTTTCAGGGTATTATTGTTGTCACTTCTGGACAACGAAACGGTTGGTGCAAA